ATGCTTCTTAAAAATATATAATATACCTTTTTTGGTCTTTTTCTTTGGCTTCACCTCTCTTGGGAGTCTTCTCCAATCTGTACAGAAAATAGCTTTAATACATATGAACAACGATTTACAACAGCAATCCTCCCCCCGCCACCCACCAAAGAAAGGTAGGGGCTCCTGTTGTGCTTGGTCCTATTTACATGCACACCTAAGTGTTTTAGCACACAACAGTTTAATGGAATTGTAGCTGTACTTTAAATTGAGGAACGCAAGCGAGGACTAGCATTTCAGTCACTTAACTTAACGACAACTGGCATCTGCCCCAAAGAGACAAAGTTCAGCTCTTCCAGTGGCCCCCGTGCCCTTCTGTTTACATTCTATAACTAAGTTTGCAGTAGCAAGCTATACAGATAGCATTGTGGAAGTTCAATGTTATAAAACCCAGCTACCTGTGACTGAGACATCAGTCTGGGGTTTTTTTAGTAACATCAATGTTTGCTCCCAGTTCAAAACTGGTATCTGCTTGGCAAGTAAGGAAGAATGTAAGCTAGAGTGAGCGCTAAAGCTTGCATTTTTTCTGCAAATCAGTTGTTTCAATTGAGTAAATAAATAAAATCAGATTTTTTTTCTTTTTTTTTTTTTCCACAAACAATACTTCGCCTTGATCTGAAAACATGCAAAGGGCATAACCCTCAACAGGGAACACATGACTTGGTAAGGATTTGCATACTTTTTTATTGCTTGAAAAATAGTGAATCAAACATTTAAAAGAGCAGAACATTTCACAGGTTAATAAAGAATTAGCCTTTGATAATCTCAGATATTACCCGGGGTCCATGTTTGATGCTCCTTTCCACTGTTCTGGTACTTTTTACGATACCTCTCAATTACTATAGAGAAGGATAAAAGAGTTACTGAATTCAATTAATTAAAAAGGCACTCCAGGCACTGTCCATGATATTTTCTTGTAACTAAACATACAGTGTGTTTTTTTAATTCCACATTGAACACTTTCTTGTGCTGTTGTCAAACACTTAAAAAACAGTTAAATGTCACTACTTTCAGCAGTTCTTATGCTAATTCCCAGGACTAATAATTTGCTAAGTACTTGCAAGACCTGGATTTTATATCCCCTTCAAAAAGGCAAAACCCCAAATATTGCTTTGCATTTTGGGGGTATCTCCTTTCAATCAAAACATCCTCCCCCCCCCCCCCCCCAAAAAAAAACCAAACAAAAAACCCAGCCCTCCAAAATTATTGTAATTTATACTTCTATCCTTGGAAAGCATGAAAACATTAAATGCAGATATAGTCAGGGAAACCAGGTTGAAACATCAAATGAATGCTAACTCTTCTACTCTTCAAGAGTTTCCACACTCAAACCTCTGCTACAAAACCAGTCAGTGACATTTATCACCACTATGCTAATCATAAAGAGTATCCAGAATTCCCAAGTCTCAGAAGGCCGCATCTCAGACTGATCATGATCAACTCCCAAGACTTCAAGTACTTCTGCAATGGCAAAGCTTTGCAGCATAACAGAGATGTGTCGTAAACAGCAGCAACACATTTTAGCCCATTCAACCTCTGTCCAGGCACAAGAACTAAACTGAGAAACGTGTTGTAAATAATACAGTAGTTATACAGTGTAAGCACATCCATTTATACTGCAAAAAAACTTTCTTGTGCAATCTCTAATGACAAAAGCAGTATCAAACTTAAGGTTTTTTAAATCAGTCCCATTTTTTTCTTAGCAAATGACCATGCCCAAATGCAAAATCCACTTACTGCGAAATTACTGACTCTGATTGCACTAATAACTCATTACCCAAGCAGGGATAATTTTTGTGGGTATTGTACAAAAAATGGTAACAAACTGTGACCTTTGCAGTCAAAGAAGTTCTAACATACTCACCAGAGAAAAGGAAGGGAGAAGGAAGGCATCAGAAATGAAGCTCATTTTTAAACTTAGCTATGACGAGGGCAAACAGAAGACCTACTTTGAACTGTGCAACAAAAAGCTTGCATTGAAAATGACAGTGTCTCAAGAGGCATTTAATGTAGGTGGCCTTCACAGATGCTGCAGGAAACTGCACAGAAAGGGAAAGAAACTAGTAGTTTTGATTTCAGCTCAAGGCTCTTTAGTGAAGTACTAATTGCTGATGTCATCAGTAAAAAAATAGATCTGACTCTCGCCACTCACAGCTAATGAATTAATTCCAATCCAGTGCCAAGATGACAGTCACCCAGTCATAGCAGATACACCTACAGGAAAAAATATGAATGATGCATAGCTTATGAGTTGAAGAAAATAGAGAACTTACTGTAGCATACACCTGCTACTCAAAATGAGTGTTGAATGATGAAAATCTGTTCTATATGGCACACTAACACATCAAACTTGCCAGGTAGTATTAGATGTGGCTTTCATTTACTACCTGAATAATGAAAGATAGATAGCTATGTCCTAACTAATTAAAATGTTTCCCTTCTCACACTTCAAAGGACCCTTTGGCTCACCGATGTTGTGCTGAGGGTTTAAAACAATCCACTTGCTCTTGTAGCAAAGCCAATTTAGAAGTTCCAGCCCACAGTCCCCCTCCTTTAGTTCCACCAGATGTTTTGATGAAATACAAGGGAGCAAAGGGCTGTAAACGAGGTAACAGAAAAGATCAGTTAAAAATAATCTACCCTGGGGCAAGAAAGCAATTTTCTTAAAGGTAAGCCACTTCTGCCACATAATGCAGTCCCAGAGACAACTGCATACTGTGACTGAGATGAAAGCAAACTTTTTAAGCTGCAGACCACTACTGATGTAATTACACCCCACCCCTCAGATGAGGCATTTTTCTACAACTAAAGGTTCAGTAAAAAGTTACCTCAACTTACCAACTTACCCTTGGGGAGATGAGAACATTGGAAGCATTATCTGAGTCTATCAAGTGGCTGTCTACCTGCTTTCCCTGCAGCTGCCAGTTTTTGTAGAAAAACAGTCTTCAAAGCTGGCAGTGCTACTAAGGAGCACACTCAGCAACAGAGATCGATCGCTCCATCTCAGAAAGAAGGCTGCAGAAACAAAGACGATTTTGAGGTGAACAGTACGAACGGTCACATGAGGCAAAGTTGGAAAAGAGAGACAGTAAGTTCTCATAAAGTGGCTGGTTCCTTGGAAATAACCCTGACCGGCTCTCAAGCACAGCAGTTTCCCTTTTTTGTGCCTCAAACAGAAATAGCAAACTTCAAGCCTGACAAAGATCAAGAGCACGGCAAGCCTCTAGTGAGATGAGAATCCAAAGAGACAGAAATTTGTTTACTCAGAAGATGAAAGAGGAGATGTGATAAAAGAGTAATTTGGAATTCTACCATCATAAAGGGATCTAGAAATTAAGATCAGATCTATTCTCCCTGCCTCATAACCAAGGTTTTACCTGGCCGCATCCTCAGGGTCCACCCTGACCCTGTGCTTGTGCTGCACTACAGCTGCCTGCTGCATCCCAGTGGCTGCTGGGCTCCAGCTGCAGGTCAGAGGAAGCATTCTGCATTTTGTGAGCCGCAACGTCTGGTCAGCAGTGTGTTCACTGCTCACACTGCAGAGTGCTGCTCCATTTTAAACAGTGCTTTAGTACAAGAACAAGTGGACAATGAATAAGGTGTGTTAATCAGTGCTACATTCAAAGCCTAATAAAAAACAAATTTGCACGCAGTCTCAAAACCTCTAGAATTCACCACTACGCCATGAACAAAAATTACTAAAAACTCAGAGGGGACTGGACTATGTACCTGTATCGTATCGACATCATGAATATTAAGTCAGAAAATATTCTGATGGTTTTGGGGTGGAAATTGAACCTCACATTTTAGAGTTCAAGTCAGCTCTCATTATTCAAAATCAGCTCAAGATAGCAAGGAAAAGAGTATCCAGTGTTTGTCCACTTCAGATTTCTCAAACATGTTTAGAAAGCTTTTCAGCGACTGCCTATCGCACTGACTGGGCCTAGGGTCTAACACATGCGGCATTTCCTAATATGTTGTATTTCCTATTTTTCTGTAACAGCACTTGCCATTTATACCATTCAGAACAAGCACTCAGGAGGATGATAGAACTAGGAAAAAAATCACAAATGAAAAGAAGCACTCCTCAAAGTAATAACCTCCTGTGACTGCTAGATTTACAATGCCCCTACAGCAAGGTGAACAGACACTAAACTCCTTCTACCCTGCTCCCCTTTCCTTCATTCCCACCAGCTCAGTTTTCTGACCAGGAAGCTTGGATTTTAACAGTATAATGGTGTATGACTGGATGCCAAGTACAGCAGAGCATTTATTGTTATCAAACAATAACAAAGCAGTTAATTTTTAATTATGGAAAAGCAAAAGACATTCTTAGGTCAAGCAGAATAAAATCAAGTTTTGGCTTATAAACCAGCTCTGCTTCTGATGTGAACCTCAGTAAATTACTTATCCTCATCTCGATCTTCGTATTTCAGGTGACTTGTCAGTAATACTTACCGATCTTTCCTGAATGGACTTCAGGGAAAAAAAATTAGTACCTTTTAGAATGTCCAGCTATTAAATACAGCATTGATTATTTTAAGTATGTCTTTACACAATTAAAATGGAAGCTAAATTTCAACATTAGTACTACAGACTTCTTTGCTCCAGTGCAAAATTTTTAAGGCATTTTAAGGCATTCACTTGTATTGGTTAGCATATAACTGAAAGGACTGCATACACTTGGTCTAAATATTTCTTACTGTATATCATATGGAACAGACGTGTGATACCTCTCTTTTTCACACAGTAATTGCTTTCTGGTTACAGCACTTGTAGGTGTGATCTACAACTTCAATAAGTGTAAAAGAAGAAAAATTCCCTATTATCTTAAGCTGCCAATTATTATTCCTCATTATGAGTACAAAATACATCTTCAACACATGCATTTCACTACATTATCCTTCATGTAATAATAACTACTGAAGACATAAATAAAAATAAAAAGCACACAAACAAACCTTCACGATCTTCTTCTACTGCCAAAAAATATGGCATTTGTTTCATAGTTGCTCTAAGATCTTGTTTTAAGGCCAACATGTAATCTTCATCTTCTCCTGTTTTCAGAGGCACTGGCTTATTTTCTGTACTCTGTACAAATTATGTTTATTATTTATAAGGTCTTAATATCCATCAAATATACAGGAACACTAACAAAAGCTACAACAAACATAGCTAATCACAGAAGACTACAACTATGCATTATGCTACTTGGCAAGTACACCTCATTGCATTCTGACATGCATAACTATGTTTACAACTAAATCTGGACCTTTTATAACTTCGCTGTATCTTTCTGCAAAAATGTATCAAGAAATGAAGAAAAAAACAGTGTTAAAACTGTGAAATAGTCATTCATAGTCATGCTAAGCTCTTAATTGCCAAAAGCATTTTTTCACACCAGCCTAGCTCAATCAAAAACTGCTGCTTCCCTCCTCAGTCAGAGTAGAGCTGGCCTTAACCTCTTCTAAAGCAGTGTTTTAACTACATTAAGTATGATCACTCTGAATCACATGGACTCCCCCAAAACAGTTTTAAGAACACTGGAGCCAGAGACAAAATTACAGAATGGATGTTGTTTCTCTCACACAACAGATGGTGCACAATCAATACCTATGTGGGAGGTTGCAAAGCACAGAGTGCTATCACAAGTACCAGAGCTGGAGCACGAACAGAGTTTACTGCTTCCAGCTATATTTGCTAGCTGGCCAACATTTTAAATCACTAATGTTGCTGATGGTAAGCTGCTGCTCCTTAATTGGGTTTCTAATTGCATTTACAGGAAATTTGTAAGAACTCAGAATGTGTCCATTAGCAATATGCAATAGCAACAATTCACTGCTTAAAGTAATTCCACTGTAAGTCAGTCAACAGCTGTAATATACTTTTGGTCACTGCCCAGTCATTAAATCTAACTCTTGCAATTTTTATTGTTCCTAGTTATGCCACTGGGTTAACTTTGATTTTTTTGAATGGCACTAGATTTCCCGACAAGTTTAATTTATTGCTGAAACTCTGTTCACAGAAGGAAGAAAGCATCTCTAACTTCTCCATGGTATACATTAGATACACTGGGGCTAGTAATTCTCCTGCAAGGCTGATCCACTCACTGCTGACTGTAACTGCAGAGGCTGCAGTTCACACAGAATTCAGCTTCCTTGTGCTATCAAGCAGACTGCAACATTCACATTAGGAACAATTACAGATGGCTTAGTATCAATGAAATCACATAACTTAATTGTAAAGGCAGACTGAGAAGATATATAACATCTGGTTCAGTAAGGCAAAACCTTGGGTGCAATAACTGTTCAGAGAAATCTTAGCATAGCACCAAATATATGTCAAACTTGCAAGTTCTGTACCATAACATGAGATTGAGAAAAATTTCATGCACCTTGATCAAATCCTGACATAACTGGGAAGTGCTCTTATATAAAACTGCAACATTCTAAGACTACTTTTCCACCTCAAAATTGTCCAAGCTTCCCTGCATAGCAAAACACAGTCAGAAAATGCTCTTTCTTCCCGTTTAATTTTCAAATACATCCCAAATGCCAAATCTCAATTAAGTTTCCTTAATTACATAAAATATCTTTCAGTTATTCTCAAATTATTTTCAAATGCTGGCTACTGAGGTACCAGACAATCATCCAAAATCTTTTACATTTGCATCAACAGTAAATTTCTAAAATCAGCAAATCCATTCCCAGCTTCAAAGACTAGCGTAACTCCATTTCAAATAAATTCAGATATCCAGTGTTTCTGTTACTGTAATGTCCAGAAAACCAATCCACGACGAGTACTTTAACGAATTAACACCTTGCAAGCAATTTAGTTAAATACAGGATACAACAGTTAGCAAAGGGATAGGAAGTAATAATAAGAAAACAAATAATTTACATTAAATACTTCAAAACTGACCTAAAGTGCTTAGAGTTGTTCTTGTATTTCATTACATTATCTAAACATGAGAGTGAATACACTTTACCTAAACACAGAGACTGTGCTTTAAGATACTTGCTGTACTTACAGGATATGTTGGTGGAGGCTTAGACACGGTATCAGGCAGAGCTGCGCCTTTACCAAAGCCAAGAGCGTCAATGTTGAAGGTAAATGCAGTACGTCCTCTTCCTGCACCTGACCCAGCCATCTGGAGTAACTGAAAATATTACAGTTTTTTAAAGATATGTTTTTGTTACATGTATCAAATGCATGCACCTATAAAATTAATGTCTAACAAAGATTACAGTAATTTTAAAACCACTCTCAAAGATAATTTTAAATAGCAAGCCATTTTTAATGCCCATCTAACTTTCTTCCACATACTATAAATTTGGTGCATGCCTAAAATCAATTCCTTTTCCTCATTTCTGCTAGCCACCTCTGCATGCCTGAAATTATCTCCTAACCAAGGAATTTAAAACTTTCTTCTTCTTCACCTGAGATTCACTGACTTGAGTTCAACCAGGACAGAAGAACCAGAAACAAGGCGGGGTGGGGGGTGGCATGGGGAAGGGGAAAAAAAGTTCAAGGACCCAGAACTTTCTGTGAATACATTTTGTAGTTTCTAAACTTGTCTCCAAAAACCAGTTTGTGTTTGTCACTCATGGCTTCTTCATCCTTCAATCTATTTTTTTTCCTTTATCTTTGTAACTAGCTTTGTGTACTGACAAGGAGCCAAAAGCAGAGATTCAAGGTAAAAGCATCAAAGGACTCCAGTATGTCTGCAAGCTAACTGCTGATAAAAGGAGGTTCGTTATAACTAAAATATTTCAATAAGGGTATAAGAGAAAAATAGCCTGCCAAACTACATTTACAGTCACATCTCACCACCTTCACTGTTACGCCAATCTTCTTCATCTCAGGCTTGTACGACCCATGGGTTGGCAAGTTAAGCAAAATGTGAGAGAGACACTTTTTGCAGAGAAGATGTCAAGAAATGGGACCCAAAAGAAGCCTGGCTGAACCAAAGTGCTACTGTGCTCACTCCCCAAGACCGTGTAAAGATCGAGGCCCCAGCTCAGAAATCCCATGTGCTGTTTACCATTAATTGCGAGGTTACCGTATTGCACCCTGCTTGGTAAGAATGTGCCTGTTCCAGATTTGCTGCTGTGCCTGTATCATCACATCTATTCCCACCATTAGTGTGTGTGTGAGGAATTCAAACAGGAAGTACAAAACAGCACAGTAACTACAGCTTCTCATACGCTTGTCTAAAGTAACAAGGAATCTGGGAGAAAATTATGATTAGGACCAAAGAAATGCATACTTAAGCTCTTTTAATATTCCACAATGCCTTTTTAGCAATGGCCATTTTATTAAATGCCAATGAGGCACTGGTTGATGCAAGTATTCCTCTACTTACTGTTTTCAACAGCAATAAACTCTGCTTGGATAAAACAAAACCACATTATACATTACAGCACCAGCCAGCAGCACAGAAAACTGTCTAAAAATAAGCAAAGAGACCTAAATAAATCATTTTAAGAAAGACAACAAAGCAAAAGCCAAGCCTGAGCATTTAATTAACTGGGGGAAAAAAAATAGCAAGCTCATATGAAAACAGGATGAAAAGCAAGATGTGAGCCTGGCAGAATGAAGAAAGATAAAAGATACAGTAAAGCCCCAAACACGAGCAATTATATTATCTAGGTGTGAAAAAAGGGAACCAACAGCAGAAGAAAACAAAAAAAAAAAGTGAAGGGCGATGTCCGGCTAGCAAGGAAAGGCACACTGTTTGCATTAAATCTAGTGAACATAAAGGTCCATTTTTAAAATGCTGCTTTAAAATTAATTCTCGGTAAGATTCTTTTGAAATAGCACATTAGTCTGATGAGAAGTAATGGGCTTTAAAACTAGCGGTATTTCGACTCCGCAGTTTTAATGAAACTCGTGATTTCTTCAAGGATACCGGCTTAGGTGGTTTATGTCTACCGACACCATGAGGTGACAGTGATGGACGATCGCAGAAACGGCGAAGGAAAAGTTGAGCTATACGACTAAGTCACCCAGCACGCCAAAGCTACCACGACAAGTAGTGTTTTGGCTGCCACCAGGGATGCCTAACGGAGCAGCCGGGGGCGTTTTGGTGCGTGAAGAGCAGTTTGCGAAGGCGCGTTTCAGATTTAAGCTTTTAAAATCCGTTCGAAACTACGTACGCTGTTGCTCGGGCTGTCGGTCGGGGGGAAAGCAGCGGGGGGGGTCTTCGGGCGGGGAAGGCCTGTGGAAAGGGGGTCCCCGCCGTGGGTGGGAGGCGGCTGGCGGGAACGGCGTGAGGAGACTCGGCACCCCGAAGAGCTCTCTCCTTATCGGGCGTTTTCCTCAGAAAAAAAAAGAACCCTCTCGATCGCGTTCGGCCCCCTGGTTTCCAGAGACAGGTGCGATCAGCGGAAGGGGAGAGCGGGTACAGGAGAAAGGACTGAAATCTGAACGCCGGGATTTTGTGGGTTTGGTTTTTTGGTTTGGTTTTTTTTTTTTCACCTGACGCCCCCGAAGGTAGCAGTCTTTGTGCCCGCCGTGTCAGAGAGAACGCAGCCCCTCGGCTCCTCCCTCGCCCCTTCCCTCTCCCCGCGCTGCCCCTCCGCCACCCCTCCCCAAGCCCGCCGGACACCCCCGCAGGGTCTCCCCGCTCCCCTCAACAACCCG